TCTTCCTTCACTGCTGTCTCTGCATCCCCCCACCCCCTCCCTCAACCCTTCTGTTTCTGATCTAAATCTGGCGCAGCAGGATCCTGCACCACTCCTCCACAGGAACTCTTTTATTCATGTTCTCAACAAGCCCCCATCGGCTGCCAAATGTTCAGCTGCAGCTCAACTCCACTGCAAAATTTAACAGTACAGCGGAATAAAGACACAGCGCTTGTTCCAGCAGCAGCAGAGGAGGAACTGCAGCCTCTGGTCTTTTAACTCAAACGATCTCTTCCTCCATCACTGGAGTTTAAAAAAAAATTTAAATTCATATTAAAGTTACCTCCCGCAGCTTTTTGATAAAAAATGAAGCACATAGAGGGAGACTAATGACTCTAAGCTGCAACATGCTGTTTTCACAGGACAGAGACGCCGGGGTGTGGAGCAGAGATGATCCTGAAATACTGGATGTACCCAAGGAAATGAGACAAATCACCCTGACGTGTCTTTCAGCGCTCCGGTTAAAATTGCACTATATTTAAATTGTAAGCAAATCTGAGCAACAGCTCAGACAAAATGCCTAAAACAAAGGAGGAATCATTTCATCAAACACTCTGAAGCTGCTAAATATGAGCCCACTATTAGCCTAAACTTTTACCAGCGGAGGCTGCTGCGCTGCACCCCTGGTATTTTGGATTATTTCTTATAAACATTTTAACATTCGAGAATGAGCTTAAAATTCACTATAGCATGTCATGTATAAAATATAAATCATATTTTTGTGGAAAACAGCTTCTGGCTCATCTCTCTTCTAACGTCTTCTGAGCTTCTGGGGCTCTAGAAACAGCGTCCAGTCAGTGCAGCTACACAGCCAATCACTGACCTGTTGCTGACATGATATATGCACCTGCAACAGAAATGTATCCAATCAGCATCGTGGAATCTGATGGCTTAAGGACGATAAACTTGTTGCCCCGGCTGAATCTCTCTGTGCCAGAGTCGATATCTGAAATACTAAGGCGTGTTTCATGTACACCACAAGGTGTCGCTGGTGTAACAGTCAACAGCCTTGAGTGTATAAGTAAGAATAAATAACGTGTTTCCATGTTCACTTTCAAACGCAAAACGTTCGTTTATCTTATTGAGTAAAAATGCCTCGACTTTTCCTTCCACAGCACACCTGTATCCTGCTGCTTGTGTTAAACTGTATTAGGATAGTGACTGAAACTGGATTAAAATGGCACAGCGCCACCTAGAATATTTTTCACCAGCTGCCACTGAAAGGTACAAGAAAAAACTGATCTACGTCTAAAAAAAGAACAAAACTGCAACAAAAGATTATTTAGTGTCAGAAAAGTCAGCAGAACTTTCCGTGAATAAAGGTAAGGATGCTAAAAAAAAGCGCTAACAGATGAGCAACAGACAGGCGACAGACAAGCCCAGTCTAAAAACAGTTCTAACATTGATTTAATTGTTCTGGAAACCGTTGAAAAATTCAAACTCAAACTTTCTTCTGAGGAGCCTGTTGAAGGATGAGGTTCCTGTCCTGTCCTACGGCGGAGGACAGATGTCAAACGCAGCCTCTGAGCGGTGACAGGAGACACGTGGACGTATGTGTCCAGACGTGTTGTCATGAATATGTGTATATGACAGATCCAACGGCTCAGACACGTTCTGCTGCTAAATTTAGCTCCTCCTGAGGACACAGTCAGTGTCTGCAGCCTGAGCTGGAGACATTCTGTTCTCCTAATGAGGAGACAAACACAGGCTGGTGTCCTCGCCTTTGTTTACCAGGAGACACAGACAGCACTTCAGCTGCACAAAGACGGTGTGCTAAAAATATGGCAATAATGCACGGGTCGATTAGTGAAATCTAAAAGTCACAAAAAGATTTAAAAAAACACAAAACACACATATGATAAAGTTCTGGTCTGTGGTGTTTGGACAAGTTCTCAGACCAGAGCCTCTGTCAGAAGACAAAGAAGAATTCTTCAACCAAATTCAACCATTTGGTCTCTACACTGTCTCTACACAGGCTGGACCACAGGTCAACTCTTCATCCATCCATATGTCCATCCATTCATCATCTCTTTATCAGTCCATCCATCCATCAGTCCATCCATCAATCCATCCATCTGTTCATTCACTCATTCATCCATCCATCCATCAGTCTATCCATCCATCCATCCCTCCATCCATCCATCCATTCCCCAATGTACTGTTGATCATCCATCCATCATTCCATTCATCCGTTATCTACAAGTTTGTTTATCCCTCCATCCACCTATCCATCCCTCCCTTCATCCTTCCGTCCATCGTCTACCATTTGGTCATCCAACCACGGGCCCATCCATCCTCTCACATGTACAGACAACAACCATTTAACCATTCAAACAACCATTCACACCTGCATTCACACTAACCATCAACATAAAACCTCCAGTTCAAGTCCTTAATCCACACGTTTACTGTAGATAGAAACATTTATTAGTAGGAAACACATTTGACCAATCAGATGAGTTTCACATATTACCACTTCAACAAGCCCCCCTTTATATAAAAGATTTACACGGGGCCCCTAGAGGAGAAGGCATGGAACTTCATGCTCTAAGTTTATCTCACTAAATGTTGTCAACACTGAGTTTTAAGAGACAAATGCATGCACACACACACACACACTTGCACACACACACATTGCAGCCTTACCTCAGTCAGCCGTGTGAATTAAATGTGTATTTTCTTCCTCTGTTGCAGTGCTAACACTGAAAGAGTTGAGAGTGTCTGTGATAAAGCCCTCTGTCTGACACTGACACACAGACGCACTGACACACACTGACACGCACACACACACACATACACATACACAAACAGTCACAGAGACAGAGACAGAAACGACTCAGAGTCTATTTTCAGTCAAAGTGCAACACTATCTCAGAGACATTACTCCCCACGGTGTCAGAGCAGGGGGTGTGGTGGGGGAGGAGGTGGGAGCTTCTTTTCTGTTCACTGGACAGTGAGGGGGACATTAAAGGGGCTCATGAGTGACTCTGGAAATAGACAACATGTGTGTCCCCCTGTGAAAACACACACACATGTGAGGCCGTCCGGGGTCTGATCCTTCCTCGTCCTCGTCCTCATCACACAGGACGAAAAAAATAAAACAGAGTGAAATGAAGCAGGGAACTTTTCACGGCCTGGAGAGAATGGACTAACCAGGGGAAGCTCCAGGAACGTCTGTGTGCTGCTGCAGCAGCTGAGCCTCTGCTGTTATGTAAGTTGTTTTGGAGGATGTGGGCTCGGTTCTGAAGGTGTCAGATTCTACACAGTGCTGACACGTGATTCACCCACTGCTCCAGAGGAGCTTCAGGTGGAGATGATGGAGACATTCAGAGTCACGGAGAGAGAAATGTGTGCGCAGAGTTTAATCATCTCAAAAAACAGTACCAGGAACCTTTGTTCAAGTTACCTGAACCATGGACACTGCTCTATGAAGACCTTGGACAACCTGGAAGTCCTGGTACTGTTTTGTATGAAACATGACTGTGTTCCACAAAACCAAAGTTCATTTGAAATTTGCTTTAATTCTGTGAAATAAAACATTTTTCCGCAGTAACTTTAGTCTTTAGTCCAATTATAATGAGGATTAAGATAATTTTTATTCCTGAGATTCAGTTTCAGGAGGTGTCTGGAAACACACACACATACTGCTGCTGCTACTACTGCTGCTGCTACTGCTGCTGCTGCTGCTGCCAGTGGAGGAGAGCATTAGTATTCTAGCACAACATGCTGGCTGCTGAAACAGAGGAGACTGGTCCCAGGAGTGACGGAGGAGAAAAGACGGAGCAGGTTTGTCTTTAAGACCAGCTTAGTTGGATTCACAGCACAGACTCTGCTCATAAAGACACTTCAAAAGGAAGACGTCAAATCCTGCTGCAGCTCTGCTACTAGCTGCTGCCGCTGCTGCTGCTGCTGCTGCCTCATGTGGAGCTCCTCTAGTTCAAGGGCACCTTCTCTTTCTCACTCTGTTCATTTTTTATTTTAAACACAGAGAATTAAAGTTATATTCATACTGCTTTCAAATAAAAAAAAGACATGTCGCAGGAAGACGTGAGCAGGGACAGAACTTTCTCTACAGCATGTCCTCACACAGAACAGAACCTTCTTCCCAACGTGCTCTTAAACACAACCTCGACCTGGAAAACCTTGAAGATAGTGGTCGACATCACTTCTTTTTACTCCATTGACTTCACTTCTAACTTCACTCCTCAAACACTTCCAAAAAAACCAAAACAACAGCAGAAACAAGAATCTAATCTACAGGGTGTTTGGAGGAAACAACTTGGTGTCGACAGAAGAGGAGGTGAAGAGAGGAGGACACAGGTTTCTGCTCCTGATGTCATCTGAAGATAACCCCTCCTGACCTTTCACCTGTGACCCCTCAACACCATCACTTCCTTCACCTCCTTCCTCCTCCTCCTGCTCCTTCTCCTGTTCCTCCTCCTGCTCCTCCTCCTGCTCCTCCTCCTGTTCCTCTCTGTGGTGCGTGCGTCATCTACACCATCTACAGACATATCAGCAGAGAGGAGGATCAGGTCTCTGAGCTAATGGACCTTCTCCTCTCTAACCTTCAGGCTGGTTCTCAGTCTGACCAGTGCCAACAAACAAATCAGCAGACACGTGGACAGGAGCGCGCACGTGTTGAAACGGCAGAGCTCAGCAGAACGTGGATGTATTTCAGGGGTCGTCTGCAAATATGTGTGGAATGACAAACTGTACATTTAGAGAGTCAGGAGGAGGAAACAGAGTGTAGAGAGGAATTCAACAAGACAATTCATGTCTCTGATCCACAGCTTCCTGGAACTATTCATCCTAAGAACAAAAGTTAAAGCTGTACTTCTTTTTTTTTTTTTACCGTCTCGGAAAAGTTTAATTAGAACAGAGAGTGAGAAGTAATTTCACTGCAAAACTTTAAAAATGTCCACACCAAACCTTCAGGTTCACAGCAGCAAAAAGTCTTTACTATGGTCTGAGCTAAACCTCAAAATCAAAGACAGTCTTTAATTCACAAGCAGACACTAACTTCACAGACCAAAGTCCATAGAGAAAAAAAACACCATACACTAACCAACTGTTTAGCCACCTGAAGATCCGTGTCTCCACTGCCACTACGTTGGCCTTGAGTTTTGTACATGATCAGGAGGGTGGGACGATTGACTGAATTCTCTTAAACTACTCATTAATGACTCTGGATTCATGAATCATTAATGTAGTTTTAATTAAGTTTTCCAGTCCTCTCTGAGGAACGTCTTCAGCAAGGAGACAGCTCTTCAGCCCATTCTCACATTTTTCTTGACAGCTGGAAGGTTTCCCTCTCCTACTGAGCTTCTGCAGATAAAATGAAGCATTTCTCATGTGTGTGCTGTACTTTCAGCATACAGTACCAGTAGTTTTCTTTAGAAACCAAGTAGTTCTTGGAACTTCTTCATTATTCCCAATGTTACACCTCTGTATCACCTCTGAACCATGCAGACAAAGTCTCTGCCTCAGAGACCTGGCATCTGTGGTCTGGTTCCTGAGGGACTGACTATTCTATTCCAGCTTCAGTTCATCCTCTTCACAGATCTGTACTGCTGTGACCTCACTGACATTGGACAGACGTGTCCTCACATGCACAGCCTCATGTGCACGTCCTGACATGTCTCTGAACCAGAGGCGGAGACACTCCTGTGTTCCTCTCTGAAAGAGTCCCTTTTCTTCATTCATGTTAATTCAACACTCCAAAAACCAACAACATGGAGAACAGAGAAGGAACCAGAGAGTGATGGTTCCAGAAAATAGTACCAGGAATCACCATGACCATTCCAACCCCAGGAAATAGAACTGTGTTAGTGTCACCTTGTATCAGTCATGAAGCAAAATGCTCAGCCTCAGAAGAAGTGGACTTTCTGGACATCTGGTGTAAAAATAACTTCAACAAGTTTCTGGGAACAGTGAGAGAAAAACGCTGGAGTGATTTTCTTCAATGACGTCACGATCGGATGAATGAGCTGCTGTTTGTCGCCTGGAGACTCAAACTTGCACACACTGAGGGAGGTGCACCTCCCCTACTGTTCCTCCTCTCAGTTCTTTCCTTGCTGCTCCTGGTCCCCCACCTCCCTCCTGCCCCCACTCCTCCTCCCCTGGCTGCAGCTCCTCCTCCTGGTCCTGACCGCGCTCCCTCACCATGACATCACTCTGATTGGTTCTAATGGCAGCACAATGAGCCAGTGTGTTCCGTCCTGAGGGAACTGTTAAAGCTCTCAGACGTCCATCAACTCACAGATGAAGCAGGAGGACGGAGAACTGTTTTTTTTCCCCCTCTGTGCCAAAGCAGTCTCCAGGTACCGATTTAGAGTCATTTTAGAGCCTGATGTTTCCCCTACACAGCTGCTTCCAGGAAGTGGAACTAATGTGTAGAATTAATTAGATGGTGATTCATTGCAGCTTTATTAGCCCGCTGTAGAGGTACTTTTTTTGCCTTGAGGTACTGCTTTCTTTTTTTCCAAAGGTACCGTTTTCTTTGGAAGTACTGGTTAGTCTGGAAGTACTGGTTTAGAGTTATTGTTTTTCTCAGGTAAAGATTTGCGGACATGCTGTTTTGGAACACTGAGAAATTCAAATAGGCCCAACAGAGGAACTGGTACTCACAAGAAATCATTTTTAAATATATAATATACAGTATATTAAAATATTTTGTAATTAGTTGGATTAGGATTGTGTCAAGGTCCTATAGAAATATCAGTACAGTTCCAAACAGAGGAACTGTTTCCTGTCTTTGGATCATCATCTTGTCAGGAAACTTTATTGAGCGGGACAGAGAAGATTCCAGAAGAAAAGACAAGGAACGGAGGAACAGAAAATGAAAACACAGCACTTTCACAAAGTACCAGAAAAAAAGAACCAGCAGGCAGACAGACAGTTCACACTATTGTTACTGGATCAGAGAAACCGGTTCCAAACCCAGACTCTAATCCTTTCCAGCTGCAGTGATCCAACATCCTGACTGAGTTCAAGCCCAGGGACAAGACCACAGATGGGTCTGCAGTGGTCTGGATCCACCTCCAGGGGGCGAGAAATCAACATTTGGGTTTATTGATGTATGGTTTCATCACATTTTGACCAGGGCACGGACCACCGCAGCTTACTTTACAATATAGGGGAATGGGTCCAGGCTCAGTTCTATCACAGCTGGTACCATGTGTTTTTACAAAAGGGACTGGTACCAGGGATTGTTAAGAGTAACGGTAATTTTTTTGGTTAGTACTGATCAAACTAGTACCAGGAACTGGTAAGAATATAAAGAGTCACACACACATGCTGTCCCCAACATGGGTTTTATTGTGACCAGGAATCTAAAAACTGTGTTTCCTGCCACAAGAGGACAATGGAGGCTGCAGTCACTGTAATAAGAACCGTTTGGTACTGGTTATCTGTTTTCCTGGAACGATGTGGTGGTGTGAGGCGCAGATATGTGGGAATTCTTCATGGTGCTTCAAGTTCCAGGTTAAGGCCAGCAGAAGATGCCATGACCTGGTTAGTTATTTAGTAAGTTATCAGAAGAAGACAACTGACAGTTTATGACTGAAATCAGGACTTCTGAAAAACCACCACACCCTGAGAACCATCACCACAGAGAGATGCCACCTTCTCTGTCAGACCACAACAGACCTCTGCTCTCCACCTTTCCTGCACAACAAGTTTCACTGTTGCAGGTGGTTTAACTGTTAAACCTTCAACTCCACCTCTGCACTGGTACAGGGACCACCCTGTACCAGTCCCATCTGGACTAGAATCAGAGTTCTGATTAAATTTGTTAATGAGGATCACAATGAGTTCAAATCCTGATCTCACTGTGAGACAAGAACAAGAAAATAAGAGTTTGTAAAACATTCTTCATACCACACCAAAGTCCATAAAGAAAGTCAGTGATTTTAGCTCACAGACCAAAAACCATAGAGAAAATCAGTGATTTTAGCTCACAGACCAAAGTCCATAGAGAAAATCCACTGTTGCATCAGTCAACTTCCACTGTGTTGACTCTACAGCCCAGTGACACAAACTGACCGCAGCAGTGAACCAGGAGCTCCTATCTGTGTAGGAGTTCGTATTTTGGCAGCTATGTTTACTAATTAGGTTGAAGATCTGGCTCTAATTCATAGGGCTGGTCATACCTGTGGGCTGACGCTGGATCCATAGCCCATCCCGGGAGAGGTCATGGAGTGCGGCCCCATAGGCGAGCTGATGACAGAGAATGGCGAGGTCATGCCGTTCATGGGAGAGCTGAGCGTGCTGATGGGGGAGTGCAGGGAGCCAGAAGGACCCATGGCAGTCGGGCTGAGTAGAGATGGGTGCATTCCTCGATGAGATGTGGGTGAGCTGAGAGGCGAGGAGGTCATGTGACCTGAAGAGTCTGTGCAGGAAAAAAAACACAAAACAGGAAATTATTACTTCTCCATCTTTTACCTTTTTTTGGCATTTCTAGGTCAACTGTCAGCTAATTTTAGTTTTTTGGGGGGATTAGGTCCGGACTTCACAGCAATTTGTTATTTTAGTAGCTTTTTGCAAAGTAGTTGGTTTATTCTGAGCTATTTGACTTTGCTACAGTATATGTCAGACTACCTCACAGTTATACTTAGCCAACTTTTCTGCCTTATTTTCTGCCCACATTTCCTAGCGATTATATTTATTTCTCTTTATTACAGTGCTAACTTTTAGCTGTCTTCTTCACCAAGTTTGGTCGTACTGTATTTTTGGCCTATTTTTTTTTTTTTTACCTATTTCTGGGCCAACTTTTACTTTTCTTTCGCAGTTGAACAATCAGAATTTTCACTGCAGAGTTTTTTTCCTGAGGAAGTGACTTGAAGTAAATCTATAATTCATGTGACTGTTGAGAACAGCAGCCACGTTTCCCTCAAACTGAGGTGGAACTGCAGAGAATCCACGGCCGGCTCTTCTTCGACATGAATGAAATGAATAAATTAAACATTTAACTTCATTGGAGCTGATTTTCCTGCAGTGGCAGCAGAAAAAAATAAGAACGAAAAAACCACAGAGCAGTGATTGGCTGTTGGATTCACTTGTTCTCTGTCTTCCTGTGAGATTGAATTAACCAGGGAGAAGTCAGACTCAGTTTGGTGTTAAAGAGTCAGAGCTTGACAGATGACAGCTCTCAGTCCAGACCTGTCTGATGTCAGCTGTCTTCTCTAAAACCTCTTGTGAATGTAGACGGTGGAGAAGGTTAGAAATCTCTGCATCACGGCACCGACCCTGAACCCTGACTGTCAGCCCAGCCGAATACTTCCTGCAATATACTGCGTCCTGTGCTGCACTTCCTACACACACACACACACACACACACACACACACAACTCTAGATCTGTCTGTGAGCGTGACTCACAGGAGTCAGTGTTACATGTGATCAGTGATGAACATGAGAAAAGTCACAGAACATACAGTAACATATGTGTGCACGGGTGTGTGTGTGTGTGTATTCATGTTGTTAGTGTAGGATTACAGCAGGATGAATAGGACTGTGTCCTAATTCCCCCCAGAGAGAAGAGGAGAGAGAGAGGGTTTGGGGGGAAAGATGGTGAGACGAAGGAAAGAAAGAGGAAACAAAGGAGTTTAGGTAGTAGGGGGTGCAATGAGGAGGAGAGGAAGTATGAATATAAAAAGGAGAAGTACATGGTAAGAAGGAGAGGGAAGGAGAAAAAAGAGGAATAAAATAGGATTGAAGTGAAATGAATGATCAGATGAAAATAGAGGGGGAGGAGAAGGTAAAGGGGACAGAAGTGAAAAGACAAGAGATGGAGAGAGAGAGAGAGAGAGAGAGAGAGTTTGAGAAACACTGCATCAGGTGACAACAGTTTTTGTGTTTGTTTTGTCGTAGGATTAATTCATGTTGGCCGACAAACGACTTGAACTGACATTTGTTCAGCAGTCAGCTGATGTGTGTATGTTTATGTTTGTGTGTTTAACTAACCCTACAGACTACCCTCAGCCGAGACTAATGATGACCAAACACCTCAACTTCCATTATTAGCATTTTTGATGAAACTCAGGTCCAACTGGTATTCTGATAAAACCAAAATCAACCACCTCACATGGTTGAGTGGTTATAGTTAACATGGTTTATGGGTTTGACAGTTGGTTGTGGGTTCTTGGATCCACATGGTTGTGGGTTTAATCCTTGCCCTGGGTGTGGTCCAAGGATTGAACGCATCGTGAATTGGTTAAAAATCGATACAAATGTGTGACAAGTCACATCGGTTAGAATAAAATATGATTTGGGCATTTAGGTGTGGGAGTAGGCCGCCTTATCACAAAAAGTCAGTGGTCATACCATGAGACTACACACTTTAGTACACAAGGTGGTGGTATGTGCCTAAAAATGTTGGCTGTGACCCACATATTGTGAACAAAATACTGAAATCATATTGTATTGTGAGTTGAGTGTATCGTTGTATCCCTAGTGTGGGTTCAATTCCCTACTTAATGGTTGTAGGGTCGACATGGTTGTGGGTTTGTTAACAAGGGTTACTATGTATTTGTCAAGTGTACATTTCCATCCTGCACCAAAATCCCATGGCTGAAAAAAACAGTGATCAGCAAAAACAACAAGATTTTCAGAAAAGAAGAATCCGAAGATAAAAGTCTGTAGAGATTCACAGAAGTTGAACTGGGAAATCTATGAAAAATATACGTTTTTCATGGAACCCATTTATTCTGTCTTTTTGTGTGCCTTTAAATATTACATCAACAGAACCTGAGAAAATACCAGACTGTGTTTCCTGATCTTCAATCCAACTAATTTGAACGTCTGAGCAGGTGGAGGACAGAGTCTGAAGGATCTACGAGGATCTGTCTCCACCCTCACAGCTGCAACATGTTTAATCACAAATGTACACACGCACCACGGTCTGTCATTGTCACGTCTTTAAACACTTCTGAAAGAAGACGACAAACACAGACGCAACAATCACCATCAGTAAAGAAAGCACCTGGGTTTGAACCAGGAGGAGAGTTCAAGTTGAAACAAGCTTCACATTAACTCTGTAGGAAAGAAAAAGAAGAAAATCTGATCAGAAAAAGAGCTCCAGACTCAGTGTGATCCCAACGACCTCCTAATCGCAGTGGACAAAGAGGAAGAGGAGGACACAGACATAGACTGAGGTAAAGGTGCATGAAGGGGAGATCGGAGATGATGGAAATTCATGTGGTGAATGGAGAATGGAGGAGGATGGAGCTGCATAAATGTGAAGGAGCATCAAGATTTAGCAGCATGGACCTGAAGCAGCAAGGAAACTAGTCATTTGGTTAGATTAATGGTAACTAGCTAAAGCTAAAATCCCACAGCACACTATCAAACAAAAATGTCAATGTAATAAAATATTTTCATCTCTTAGTTTAGTTTGCTCACAATTTGACTACTCAGTGTGAAACCTGGGTCTGTTTAGTTGAACACAACACTGATGCACACACAGGAATTGAACAGCCCTGGGTCTCTGTTTTTATAGCCATATGCTTCCAACTAGTGGCAAAGCAAAGGCCAACTACCGTCATTAAATGAATAATGGTTTTCAAACTATATCAACAATTACATGAAAGTGGATCATTTCCCACAACAGACCTGATGATGTCACAGGGGTTTGAAAGCACTGATCACCTGCATCATCATCATCTTCTTCAGAAACAGCACCAACATCAGTAACAAAAGCCTAGTGTGGTGTCCGTGTTGAGTCAGCAGCCTGTGGTTCTGAGGAAACATCCCCTACTCTGACTCTTTGTCAGGACTGGTCCTTTTTCATCTACATGTATCCTGGCTGAATACATTCTGAGATGATTGTGAGTCAAACAAAAGCCAAATGATCAGAGAGAGCAGTGTGTGGAGCTTCAACTCTGATGATCTTATTATCAGAGTCTGGACCTCCTGTCAGCCACAGGAAATGACTTTTTCTTTTCTCCAACACAAAATAAAATACTTGTGTCTGTGCGTGTGTGTGGTGTGTGTGGGGTGTGTGTGTGCGTGTGTGGTATCGGCAGATGTCTGTTCAGAGACAGAACAGAATCCGAAGGTTTCTCAGTCAGGAAGCTGTGATCCAGCCACTGATAAAACAACAGATGGAGCCATTCACTGGCGAAATAGACACGGCCGCAGGCAGCGGACCAAGAGTGTGTCTGGCACCAACACACACACACACACACACAGAGGCTAATTTTGATGATTTTATTATATCAAAAACTGCTACAGTTCTTCTACTCTTACTTTAACTTCATTCTTTACCAACGTGTAGTCCTTTAGCCCGACGGCTAGCTAGTTTCTTAGCTAAATTTGTGTCGCCCAATCAGAGTCAAAGAGTACATTTTGGACGAATATGCTAATTGTGTATAAGCTAAAAAGGTCAAACAATAATGCAGAGCAGAAAAGGTGCCACAGTGTGTGTGTGTGTGTGTGTGTGTGTGTGGTAAGCTTCTCTCTGGGATGATTAATGATGTCAATTAGAACACAGAGGTGTTTCTTCACTACAGCAACAACAGGAAAAGGAATGTAACACTGATGACTCAGAGAAAAGGAACGACACAGATGACACTGATCATCAGACACACACACACAGAAACACACACACACACACTACCAGGAAGTGGTTTCACAGCAGGCTCTACAACAGGATAATACAGTACCGGATTGTGGCAGTTAACCACAGTACCAGCACCAGAGAGGGGGGACAGTTCCTGCGACTGTTTCCATGATTCCACTCTAAGGAACATGAAGAGCATTAACCAGTGCACAAACTACAGACAGTAACATTCTCCTTTTTCAGGACAAGAACAACAGAAACCATGTGGATAAACGCTGCAAGAACTGGTGCCAGAAAGGTATGAGTGCAGGGATCAATAGCAGTAATGTAGCAGGAGGAAACATAGCCCTGGTCCCTGCTACTGCCCCTAACCTCTGGTACTGCCCCTGGCCCCTGATACTGCCCATTGTCCCTGGTACTGTCTCTTATCCATTATAGTGTCTGTGGTGAAAGAGTTTTGTGTCCAATTTCTATCCAATCACAAGTTCCATCAGAAGTTTTCACAGAAACGAACCAAAACCAAAAAACCCAGCATATCACCAGATGAGGTGTTTAGAACCGATTTATCAGAGCTGTTTGAACTGACATGGGCTGTGAGAACAGAAACTCCAGGTTTCAGGTTCAGGTTCTAGGTCAGAGAACTAAAATCACAGCTCTATTTTCCTGGATTTACTGAGGACAGACACAAGGAACCGTCTTCTCTCTCCTGTCTGTTCTTATCTCTGATGACGGTTCTTTTGTTCCAGGTTCAGAGTTGCTGCTCTGCCTTTTAATGAAATCCAAACGGAGCGGGTTCTGACTCCTGGCCTTCCACTGCTCTCTCTCTCTGTTC